CTAATGGAAGAATAACTCAAAAGATCGACTTTCTATAAGCCTCGACATATATATATATATATATATACATATATATAAATATATATATATACATTCTTGCGAAATGCCCTTGTTTAAATAACACGAGGTTAGTATAGATGTTTTTATTGTTATTGCTGCTGTTGTTCGACAGCTGACTTGGCCCTCCTCAGAGCCATGTTGCTGACCACCCGTGTGTTGGTCACAAGTGATGAATGAAAAAACACATGTTAATTAAGTTAGTAACTACAGCAGAAAAGGCATAAATTACAACTGGTTTAAGGTTGCTTATATTAGCGGAGAGCTCGGTGCTCGAGTTCTGCGTGGAGTAAGCGGGCAAGAAGAGTATAGGGACTGTAAGAGCACTACTTGGGTCAACTGAAAGGTAATACGATATACAGACTTTAGCCTGACTAACCTCGGAACTCCAGGAAACCACAGTGGATAAGCAGGCAAGACTCCGAAAAAATGGAAAATGTGCTGGGACCCGCACAACCAGTGAAGACGGGCTATCCAAATATCCATATAAGTATCAACATCGTGTAAGCTAATCCAAGAAGGTATGTAGTTACAGTTCTGTATCCCTGCAATTTTGCATAACGACTATCCCTCAACCCATTATTTGCTAGTAAAACTGTTGTGAACTGCACGAGTAGATAAATACAATGACTGGTTCTACCATCGCTGGCGGACATATCCTTGCATCCTTCTCTCCAGCGATACTCTCTTATTGCGGAACTTCTTCAGAAGAGCATATGTTCGGAAAACAACATTTCCATATTGTTTACTGAACATAAGTAGAAAGATATAATACGATATTGTTTATATAGAAAGTTTATGCGAGAATGATGGAAAAGTTTGTGCAGATAAAGTAAAGTGAAGCAAACAGTTCCAATAGTATCCAAGCGATTGGCTTGACGCCACCCACGCGTAAACGGAGCGAACAATGTTGCGAGGTTGAGCTCTCAGGTGATGCTACCTTGCTTTTTTCTTTCTGATAAGAGTGGATGCAGAACATTCACGCGAGTATTGTGCCAAATACTTTAAAGTTTAATAGGTTATACGAGAGCAGTAAGTAGTTAAACACAACCGCAAAGATGCTGAGATCTGAGCAAAACTCGGAACCTAATCTTGGTTTCGAACCCGTCGTTGCCCTTACTGAAGGGTCACGTGCTATCCACCGCAGCAAAGAAAGCCCTTGCTTCGACTTTCTGTTGGCTAGTTATTTTAAACAAATTTTTTACAGCATCAGTAGAGTAAAAAAACCGGCCGAGAGAAAGCAAAGGGAGGGCTTCGGTTGATGCTGTGCATAGCACGTGAGCCTCTGGTAAGAGTGATAGCGAGTTCGAAATCTATCTGATGTCCCGAGTTTTGCTCATACCTCGTCATACCTGTGGTTATATTTCACACTATTCTTGCCATAAAAAAGAATAAGCGGTATACAAAAAGTTAAGATAGTGTAGTGTTCAGAGAAGATCGTGCTCCGTACACGAAGTGAGCGGTAAAGTAGAGACTACTTTCTTCAGGGTAGAGAATAATCGCTGTGATTATTGTTATACACAGGATTATTGAAAAGTTATCCTCCGTTCTAAAGTCCTTAAAACCTACTTCGTGACGACAATTTTTATAAGAAATAAATATGAGAATGAAGTTTCTACGATGCAGTTTAATTGAAAATTCTGTTTGGTCATCAGCAGTTGCTGCTTGCTTATGGAGAAGCCGAAAACTGCATCTGCTCATTCGATCAGTAATTCTTCTGAGATGGAGGACACAACTTGTCGTAGTCGCCTTTCGAGTTCTACCAAAGTCGCTGGTTTAGCAAAGTAGATTTTTTCTTTAACCAATGTCAAAGAAAAAGGTCGAAGGTTGTTAATTCAGAGCTTCTGGTTAACCACTCCTGCGACCAGTCCATTACCCAGGATTTCAGAGCAAAGCAATTCAACTGGCATTCAGCGATGCTCAGAAGGAAGACAAGTTCCTCACGTGGCATCGGAGGCTAGGCGTGAATCTGATGTCCATCGTAGATAGCCAATGTAAGACACCCATGATGTGTCTGGTCTCTTAAAATATGTGTAAAGATGAAATACAACCACAACGTTGCTGAGATATTTGCAAAACTCTGGACCGCAGGTGTCTATGGTGGGGAACGAACGCGCTATTATCCTTTCCGGGGAGTAACGCGTTCACCACCACACCATGCGGGTCCTTTGTTTCGCACGTCTCTCAGCTATTTCTATCGATCTTTTTGCCACAGCAATCACCCGTCAGCGGGGTTGATCTGGGGAGCGCAAATCGGCATAGAACCCAGTTAAGCTATGGCTGTAGTTGAAATCACAATGTTTAACGTTTTGTTTTCTGCCTTTCTATAATTTTCATGGCAGGTTACTAAGCG